TCCATAATCATAAACAATACAAGAGAACAGAGAAATCCAAAAGAAATCCAAAATCCACATGAAAATGGAGGTCAACTGTGACACAAGACTGAGCATTACAAGCTACACATGCCAATGGCCATGCACAGACTGAGGGAAACACAGGCCATATATCCATAGGGTTAACGAGCTGGGAGGGAATACACAGGTGAGACACATGAGGAATAAACAAGACAGACTTATACACAGGAAGGCAGGGTGATGAACAGAACGGCAAGACAAACCATGAAACTAAACAGAACAGATCAGAATAATGACTTTAACAAACTACACAAGCAGACACATCACAATTTGCGGGCTGTTTCACAAAACCAAGATAGCGGATTAAGCCAGGATTTTCCAGATCTCCTGACTGAATTAAGCCGTGACTCGGTTTCATGAAAGCAGTAGCACATAAGTTACCATGGTGATCTATTCTGTGCAGCTAGCCTGCACAGGCTAACAGCCAGGCTTAGTTAATCCTGGTGCCTTATCTGTTCAGTCAGCGGTCACACCGATCAGAAACCAAATAGTTTTTTCAGTTATTCTATGTGTTTTGCATATTTTTCATTAGCCTGCATTAAAATACCACAGGTAGCCGACATTTTGGCAATATGGCAGAACTTAGTTTGTGCTTATTAGGTTTCATAATTGGAGAAGAAGACACGCGCACCATGCTTTACACACAGTGAGCAAAAGCGAGGAGGTTGCATGGAATAAAAGCACATAACATGTAAAAAAAAGTGTGTCAGACAATAGTGGACCGACTGAATGTGAGTTGATAAAAATATACTCTTAACTGAAACTGCAGGACTGGAGCACTGGACGTTAATAGCCTATGTCACTCAAAAAATGTATGCACACACACTATATAAGATATATGGCATATATCAGAATCAGAATGAGCTTTATTGCCAAGCAGTGTTTTACACATATGAGGAATTTTCTTTGGTGATAAGGTGCTATACGTAGTGCAACACACAGTGCAACATTGTGCGCCGTTTATTCATGAAACAACAGGGAGAGGTTTTTTGACCCTTTTTTTCTCCCTGGGATCATCTGATGCAAGCTTGCGAGAGAAAAAAATTATTAATACATTGAGTTACATGCTTAAAGTGTGCATGGCAATGATCACTTCTCTTTTAGTTTATAGATTTCCAAGTCCAATTTCCTAAGTGTGTCTTTTTATCTCGATATCTTGGTGCAAGTCCTTCTGGGGTTTTTGGTGATATTTTATTTTGTACATTTTTTTCTATTATGTGCAGTTCAGACATCTGCCAGTTTGTAAAACACTTATCAATTAACACAGCAGGAACTGTTCATTTGTGGATGTCCTTCGGGTTATACTTACTAGATTGCCAGACTGGCTGTCAGACTGTAGGAATACAGCCTCAGCGTAAAGTAACAAATGATACAGTATTTTCTATGAGTACCATATAACTAACCTCTTAGTCTGACTAAACAACACACAAAATTGACATACCTTCAGCCTCTGTGCCTAGGCCTAATATATATTATAGGCTATATATATATATATATATATATATATATAGCTTTAATAACTGAAAATGTTTTATAGTTTGAATTGTCGCCCGCCAGCTGGATTTTGTGTTTCCTTTTATATAAATAAAGACATTTCGTGTGTTTAATGCTCAAAAACGTCTGGGGGAGGACCCCCAGACTCTCCACTCATATATTTCAGCATTGAATATTACTTCAAAATAGTGTTAAAATATTTTTCTTGTCTTGTTCTCAACACAGAATTGTGTATCATCACATCTCGTGAGTCAAGTGTATCATCACACCCCTAATCTGAGCCCTTATGTCTCCACCACTTTTTAACACTAATATATATATAATATATACACACATACATACATACACACACGCACATACATACACACACACATACATACACACACACACACACACACACATACATACACACACACATACAGAGATAGAGTTTTAATAGTGTGGGCGTGTTTCTTCTTCTTTTTTTAATATTATGTGCATTTTTTCATCATAAAACTTTTTATTTGCTTTATGTATGCTGCACACGTCTTTTCCATGTCAGCATCAATGAATCTGTGATCGACCATGTGATCTCATGAAGAAAGCTGTTGAAGCGCATTTTTCTGAATTACTTACACCTGGCTTGACATAGTCGCTCCTCCTAAGCCTGGTTTGGCCTTCGTGAAACAGATAAAGCCAGGATGCAGTGATCACACTTGTCCTGATTTTTTTTCTTTCTTTTGTGAAACTGCCCTCTGAACAACTACACAGAACAGGCAGAACAACAGAACAAACATACAAACAAGACAGGCAGATCAAACTAACACCTAGCAGACCGAAAACTAATACAGATAAACTACAACCTAACAGGGAAAAACAGACTGAGAGTAGGATTAAACAGAACACAAAACAGTCAAGACCAAAAATAATTCAAATACAGAACCAGGATTAAATACAAAGACATGAACCATGGCACAGAACTAAAATGCAGAACTAAAACTAAGATACGAGACAGGACAGGTACTAAGTGAACTAAACTGAACATGCAAATGAACAAAAGAATAAACTAGTCTTAATAGAGAAGACAAGACAAGGATCAAAACAGCAAAAGCCAAACCTAAGATAAACCGACTTCAACAGGAAAAAAACATGAACATATATATACATATTGATGCTAATAGCTCTTACTAGGAAATATTGTCACTCTCTTACTGTATTGATGCTTGTGTGTAAGTTGCTTTGGATAAAAGCGTCTGCCAAATGAGTGAATGTAAATACAACAAAAACAGAAGGGAAAGAGACTAAAATGCACAGTCCCGTTCAAATCCATGTGATCTTCAGCTTCTGTAATGAAAGAACTTCAACACCTGTATCCCTGGCTGAGATTGGAATTAGCTGTGGTTGATCTATTTTACTCAAAACAGCTATTTGTCATTTTCATGACATGATAAGTTCATTCAGAAATGCTTATCAGCTGTTTCAAAATAGATTTTGAACTGCTATTGTAGCAGAAGTAGAGGCGTTATTCATTATTTAAGGTTTTGAAAATGATGTCTTCATTTCTCACATGTTGTGTGCAAGCATTTGTAAACAACACAAAATCATCCATAGTTTTGGTGTTGGGTAAGCTTGTACGTAAAGAAAAACTTGGCATTTTAGAAATAGGTTCAATGACTTTTTCTCAGTTGCTTTGGTACATTTCTCGAATCATCCTTACTATTTGCGAAACCGTAAGTACATTCCTCTAAACATATCAAACAAACAGCACAACACAGTGGATTACCTGCAAAAGCCCATAACTTGCTCGAAATCCTTAGTCTATCTCTCAAAAGCAAACATTTATGTCAGTGTCATCAAAATGACAAGTCCTTGTGCCATGTTTATAAAAAAGATAGTCTAAATGTTTAGTCATGTTATCAATATAACAGTGTACTCTGTAAATATTTTCTGATGTAAACTATGGCTAAGGTTTTGAATTCCAACAGTATAAAGTTATACAAGAAACTGGACAGGATTCACAGTTACACTTTACTGTTTGTACTGTAATTCGTTGACAGCCCATGTCATTGTGATACAGAAAAGAAAAAACCCCACAAGACTGTTTTACACAACGAAAAAAAATATTTCTAACAAAATTAGAAATGTAAACATGGGAAACACCCTTTAGGCTGTCTGTTGGGTCACAGATTCTCTTCAAAATATGAACTGTTGATCAGACTTATTTTCTATTATTAAATTATCTATCATCTATGTATACAGGGCTGTGCAGCTTTTGTATTGTGTTGATTATTCTTACTTTGTTCATGAACCTCGGTCCGTACGTACGTAACAATATTTCATTCAGCTGTACACTTACACTGTACAATACATTCTGACTTTGACTACGTGTTCAGACATTCTGCATGTAGTGACTTATGCAATGAACTTATGCCTAGATGTTTTGGGGGGTAGGACTATTCAACAGAGAACCAGTATAATATATTGTGATCAGCATGACATAAGCAATTGACAACATAGGAAACAGCAGACAGTTGTACATCATTTGCATCAATGTGTAATAATGAGAAAATAATGAGAGTGACGAGATGATGCGGAGGTTGAACATGTAGTTTCGAGAATTTCAGTTGTGATCTGAGAAATGTAGTAAAGCAACTGAGAAAAATTGTATTGGTCCTGAACAGACTGATGTTGGGCTAATTGTGCTAAGAAAATGTGACTACAGATTGGACAAAACGAGGTCAGCCATTGTAGAATACTGTAATCTGAATGAAGAAATGTTATCGCTTTGCTTCGGTCATTCTGCCATTGTTATCTGATGCTGCCATCTAGTAGCCACAGTATGGTATTACACCCCCCCACCTAAAGAGGGCTACATCATCAGTTTGATCCCTGTGACAATCCTTTCAATACTTTAAACAATTTTCCTAAACTCTTAACGCACCAACAAACTTACAAAATTAAAATTACACATTGTAAACTAAACTCCAACACTAATTTTACAATATATAATACACTAAATCTACCAAAACACTGCAAACGTCAAATCTCTAACACATTTTCTCTTCCAACAGGAACATTTAGTCAATAGCACCAATAATGCAAAATCCAATCTTCAAAGCCACCATATATTTCTTAAATGTTTTTCTAATAAGAATTCTGATAATTCATATTTTTAAATAATTTACTTTTCTTCCGTTTCTCTTTATTTATAAGGACAGCACACATTTATTTAACTCCAACTATTACACATTTAACTGCAGCTAAATGTGTCAGGTCTGCCCCTTACACAATAAACACTGTATTGCATTGATCATAGATTATGCTTTGCACTGCAGTTTCTTTGGAAGCCTCTGTACATTTTTGTTTTGTTGGTTTTTGTAAATGCATGCATTTTGTTTCTTTTGCTGCAGAAATTAAATACAAAAAGATGAATGACCCATCTCAGAGTAGCTTTATAGAATGTACAGTTTATTAACAAAAAAGATGACAGAGACAGAATTGTTGCAGTAAAGGCTCTATTTGCAACAGGACAAAAATATATATTATTAATGTGAAAATACAAAATATTCAAACAGAAAAAAAAACACAAAACAATTAACAAACAAAAAAGTCATCTTCTAATCTGCCCAGTCTTCTGCATTTGGCCACATGTTCTCATCCACATCACACCTGATATCTTCTCTGGTAAGGCATCTAGGGAAGAATCTTTTTGCATGCCTTATCCACCTTATCCAGTGCAAGGCGGTAAGCCACAGTTCAAACAGTGATGCATGGACGGTTCCGTGTAGGCCCAAAAATTACGTCAAAACCCCGTGACATCCCGTCGGACATGCGAGATGTAACCGTATTGCTTAGATTATGAACTTTGAGTGAATCTAAAACAACTACTCGTGCCATCAGTGACGCTGCTGGTGTTTGGTAGATGAGCCTCGTAGGTGGGCTGATTAAACAGAGACCATCTGAGTCACACAAACACACTGAGCCAAGAGACTTTTGTTTGTGCAGCTATGCAGCTACCAGAATTACAGTGTTTCTGCTGCTGCTCTACGTCATTAAACCACGGTTTTGCTGCGCGATCATGTACAGAAGACGCCTGTGCCGACAGGAAGAAGCCCTGTAGTTGTATTTTATTGGTCAAAAATTGGCTTCACTGCTCTCCATTCAAATCGGCGGGGTGGCTTCGTCCAGTAAAATACTGTCTATGGTTCAGTGCTGTGATGTCTTGGCATGCAGCATCCATTGCATCTAAGACGGACATTTGGTCCTGTGGACAATGGTCAAAAACCCTCCATCTCCAGGCTGAGAAAAACTCCTCAGTGGGGTTGAGGAAAGGGGAGTAAGGGACATCATCCTCGCATGGGCGTCAAACTAGGTTGTGACTGCACAGGAATGGTGGAATGCCACATTGTCCCATGTGATCACATATATTGGCAAGTGATCTCCCACCTGTCTTTCATACAGGTCGTCTAAAAACAGGAGAAGGCAGTCGGTGCTGTAGGGGCCAGTCTCACATTTATACAAGAGTGGACCTTTACTGGAGATTGCGGCCCACAAAGTGATGATGGTTCCCCTCTGGCCCGGCACGGTAACTGTGGCCCTTTTGCCAATTATGTTTCTTCCGCGCCGTTGCCTTTTTTGCCAAGTTAAAGCCAGCCTCATCAACGTAGATCATTTCATGTGGGACTTGAGTGGTTCAACTCCATGACTCTCTGAAAGTAATCACACACGGTGCGTGTAAATGCTTTGATATATACCTGCTTTATGTCCTACTGTGTTCAGGTTATAGAGTAGTTTACTGCAAAACACACAACGTATAGTACAGTAATGACAGTATTGCATTACCTCACCTGGACGTACTGGTGATAGAGTTCTTTGATGTGCTCACCGTTCCTTTCAAAATGAACTTTATATTTCATTCGGACTCTGTGTTTAGCTAGAGTCAGATAAATGGATGTTATGCTGATTGCTGCAATGTTCCCAAAGACAGGGTTGTCCCCTTCAACTCTGGACTGAATGTCCTTCAGTTTTATTTCATTGTCAGCAATCACCATGTTGACAATAACAAGTTCCTGTTCTTCATTTAGGAGCTTTCCTCTGCCCCCTGAGGAAGGTAGACGTTGAATCCTTAAAGGGACAAAATATAGTAACATACTGTATTGGAGACTGGAGGCATACAGTCACTGTAATACATGGTAAAATGATTTTACACTTCGCAGTAGGAGGAGCCCTCAGACAACATCCTACCTGTATGTTTCTCAAAATGTCTGGACAATGGATGCCACTGTGTCCCAGCTGAGATTTGGTTGTACTTGTTCAGCAGCCTCTCTGTATGATAGCCTGTGGTTTATGACATGGTCTATGATAGTAGCTCTTCAAGCTCTGGCCCTTCTTTGAGCACCACCACGCATTCTGACTCCTCTCCAGCCGTCCCTGTCCAGGCATTCCTCTCCCTTGTCCTAGTACTTCTCTTCCTCTCCCTCGTGCAGGCATTTTCCTTCCTTTCTTTGTTTTGCTCTATATCCATATTTCCACACCAGATCAGCCAAAAGAAGTCCTCTTTTACACCACATGGTCATGATATTGAAAGAACCTCAACACCTGAGTGTGTTTCCTAGATGGGAATCAGCTGTGATTGATCTATTTGCATAACTCCAATCAGATGTTTCTCAGTTACGGTGGATTAAAATAAAAAGGATATATTTGTGTTTCATGTCAAAATATGAAAAGCTGTTCACTTTGACTTTAGTCTAAATTTTACAACATGATGTTATCTGTTCTGACATACAGTGTGAAAGCATTTGTAAATGTGGCAGTAAAAATCCATTGTTCTGGTCTTGGTTGAGCTTGTGTGTAAAAGAAGTTCAAGCATTTTAAATTTGTGTTGACTGTATGCATTTTGTGTCAAAGCAACATGAATTTTTTTAATTGTATAGTCTACACAGACAGATGTTGTGCTAACTGTGTTAAATGTTTAGGAAAATTGTTAAAAGTATTGAAAAGATTGTCATAGCCATCATAAAAAAAGAAAAAATGAACCACAGCCTCTAAAACTGCAGTTGAATCAACACCTCCCTAAAACAAGTTTTAAAAAAGTTCAACAAGTTCAACAATAACTGAACATTAGAACTTTCAAGAAGGTAGGATTTATTGTAGGACTGTTTTTATTTATTGTTAGACTATGCTAGCTGCAGTGCAAAAGTCCTCTTGAAAGTAGTCAGAGTTCTGCTAAGTAAAGAGGTTGAGAAACCTTGAAATGTTTGCAATAATGGATGTAGGTTTGGAGCAAAATATGCTATTAGCAACTGTAGCCAGCTCTCCTGGTCTTGATGGTACAGCTGAGTCTCTTATGCTGAAAACTGTCCATTAAGGGTCTGAGACTATCTGGTACTACAGCCACATTCAACCTTTCCTCAGCATCAAATGCAGATAAGTTCATTGTTGTAAGTTTTCTCCTGTTCATAAGATTCAAGCAACTGCATAGCTTACTACTACAGGCTTTCCAGAAAGTTCTACCCTTACTCCTTATTTGCTCGGATCACCCTCATCTTGTATGTCCTGTGGATTGAGTTAATTTGAGACCAGGTAGTGGCAGCAGCTGTTCATACTTGCTTGGGCTTTGCAAAAACCAGCAATGTTCTCTGAGGAGTACCTTGCCACATCTGGTTACTCTTCTCCAGAAGCCAGATGACTCTCCGCCGCTTGGTGATGTGCACAGACTCCACAACTGTTCCAAGCTGGTAGCTGGGAAACGGCTTCCTCGTTACTTGTCCTGACATTCTAGGTACAAGGAGATGGCAGTCATTAGCCAGTTAGACGCTGAATATGGATTATCAATGTGGATGGAGTCCAGACAAGACCAGTGTCTGCTTTCAATTTGGTCCGATGAAAGTATACAATCAAAACTTGGCAAATCAAATGTTAGCCAAGCCATTTATGAAGCAATGGCCACGCAAATGGTGGAGATTGGCTACAACCGGTCCTGGCTGCAATGTCAAAGAAAAATTGAGCACATGAAACTGGCTAACAGAAATACCAAGGTAACAACTGGATGCAATGTTGTGTGAACGACCTGCGTTTTGCTCTAAGGATTTCATTGATTCAGAAGATGTTAACGTTAGCATGTACCAGCAACGAGGAAAACAGGTGTGGAATCGACAGTGATGTGCTACAGTTTTTTTTTTTCCAACTACTTACACGTTTTCAAAACTATTTCTCCTTTTTTCAAAACTCTACACACAATTCCCAGACTGCTCACACAAAATGCAAAATGCCTCATGTGTTTTTCAAAATGAAACCCTGCATTCAAAATGCCATAAACACACCCCACAATGATGCATTGGCATCAGATGGCAAACACTTTTTTCATAATAGTAAATTACTTGAAATACCATTTACACACTGTTGTTCTAAATCTAAAGTTCTTTCATAGGCTTATGTGTACATTTTCTTAAAATGCTGTAGAGTGAATGTAATCTACTAAGATGTGCTGAAAAGTAAACTGTAAACACCACTACAATGTTGAAACAGAAAATATTTATATGGCATAACATTACTGTTGTAACAGTAGCACAGTGTTGTATACACTAGCATACAAGAAAAGGAAAACAAACATTTTTACTTTTATTGCCCAAAGAATTATACTTATTGTACAATACTTCACTGCTGAACCATTAGATTGTTAGATACCTGTTCTAATTTCTGAAGGTTCAAATTATGGACACCAATGTAAAGCTACTGAAGTTGGGCTGGACTGCAGTCAGCTTCTCTCATTGTCAACCTGTGGTTGATCACATGATCGATAAGTGTGGCCCTGATCTCATTAGAGATGGCTCTCCTTCCTTTTCTTCTTTGCCCTCATCCTCTGCCAAGTCCTACAACCAAAACTATTTATAGATCTACTGTATACTAAAGCAGTGATTGGTTAGTGATCAGTAAAGCAGTTAGTGTTTGCACATGTGAGTGGGTGTGTGACCTGGTGAAGTATAGCATTTTGATTGGTGTAATGGAGACCAGGGGTTCCATTACCTGAAATAGTCAAGTAAGTATTAAGGTGGGGATAACTGATAAAGCAGGAGCCAGACACTGTTATTTTGATTGTTTATTTAATTTGTGAATCATTTGATAGCTGTCTTTGTGAGTGGTTCCACAGGGGGGGGGGGGTCTGGCCATCCTGCCTGTGTGGAAAGAAACCTCAATCAGGGATAGTCAAGGTTCACAATATAGTATTGACTGCTTTTACTGTATTTCAGTTAGTTGTTAAATTAGTTTAAACAAGATGAACAATGTAAGTACTCACCTCTTCCTGGTTGTCTCTTCAGCAGGGGGCGGAAGCAAAGGAGTGTTGTAGGCCCAAGCACCTGCTTAAGAGCTAAAGGAGCAAACCATGAAGCTGAGAAGGGGGGGAGTAAAGCCATCAATAATGCTGACTTATGTGATTATTTTGAGTATGCTTTATTGATTTACTGATAGAAATTTGTATTTATGTAAATATTCATTCTTTGGGCTCTATTTTTCTGTGGTGTTGGGTTTTTGGGTAAATTATTTAGTATTCTAAATGATGGTGGTCCCCCCCTGAGTAGTTTTACCCACTTAATTACCTGCAGGAGGGAGTGTATAAAAGGCAGCAAGTTACTTCCAGTGCAAGTTGTTTTGTTGCTTGTTGGTGTCGGTGTCTCCTCTTGTTGGTATGGAAGACAATAAATGCCACGTTTGTGCTTGCATTTTACCTCTGTCTCATGTCTCTCTCTGAAAAATATAAATCCACCGCCAGGCCATCGGACAAGTGGTGTCAGAAGTGGGATCTTGGAAGAGCAGAGACAAGGCTAGGATGACAAGAGGTGGAAAAAAGAAACATTTAGATGAAATGGGAGATGATGAAGCAGGTGCTGCAGTGGACACAGGGCTTAAAAAAGGAGGCAGCCCGGAGATCAGCAAATAGAGAATGAGTCCGCTCGACAAGAACAAAGATGGAGAAGTATGCAACACCAGTTTCGGAATGGATAATGACAGACAAAGTGACAGGGGTGAACCGGACGAGGGGCCTAGTATGGTGAGTCAGCAAGCGGGGGTTTTGCCCAGGCGGGAACCATTAACACACAGAGATCCCAAATTGCTCCCGCTGACTTCAGAGGATGACATTGAACACTTTCTGACTACGTTTGAGAGGATGGCTCAAGTTTGCCGTTGGCCCAGAGAGGAATGGGCTGTTCGACTGGTTCCTCTGCTCACAGGTAAAGCACGTAGTGCTTATGTGTTCATGGACATTGCTGATTCTGAAGTGTATGACAAGGTTAAAGATGCCATTCTTGTCAAGTATGAGATAACCGCTGACACCTATCGTAGAAGGTTTCGATCCCTGGACATTCATCAGAATGAGACTCCAAGAGAACTATATGTCCGCCTTAAAGATTTGTTTCACAAGTGGGTGAAACCAGAGAAATCCACTGTGAAGGACATTTCTGAACTGATTATCCTGGAGCAGTTTCTGAGGATGGTGAATCCGGATTTGGAGGTGTGGATACGGGAACAAGCTCCTAAGTCTGCAGAGGAGGCCGCAAGCCTAGCAGAAGTCTTCATGTCTGCCAGAACGGGGACCAGAAGAACCACCTTTGGTCGGGACGGTTTCTTGACTAGTCGAAGTAAGTCTGATGGGGGTGAAAGGGGTGGTGGTATAGCTCAGATTAGAAATCAGCCTAGCACTAGACAATTTACTACTAGTAAATTCAACCCTACCAAAAAGTCATATTCTGGTACAAAGTCAGATGTGAGGTGTTATCAGTGTAATCAGATTGGTCACACCCAGTATACTTGCCCAGCCACTACTCAGAGTAAGCCCTCCCTTTTGTGTTCAGTTCCCAGGCCCACTTTCTCAGCCTCGGTGCATGAGCCAGTACGAACAGCACCTGTGTTAGTAAATGGTCAGCGTGAGGTAGCTCTCTTAGACACAGGAAGCTTTCAGTCTGTGGTTCTGTCTAGCTTAGTGCCGAGGGAGTTATGGAGTGATGCTAGGGCCAAGATAAGCTGTGTGCATGGCGATGAGAAAGATTATCCCATGGCTGAGGTTTATTTGACTGTAGGTGGCCAGACATTTCTCTTGCCAGTGGCCTTGGCACCCAAACTACCCTATGCTGTCATTCTTGGCCTAGATGTTCCCACACTGCTAGATTTAGTACACAACGGAGAAGCTAAAAATCTGAACTTTGCAAATGATCTACAGGAGGCTGAGTCACCCGAAGTCGACTCATTCGGTCAGGCAAGTGACCGGCAGGCAAACCTAGGGCCTTTACTTCCAGTTTGTAATTTGGTGACTACTAGAGCTCAAAAGGCCAGGAACCCCCTTAAAGAGCTGCCATTTTTTGATGTGGAATTGGAGGCAGGCTCAGTTAAACCAACAAAGTCCAGAGCTCAGAGGAGAAGGGATAAGTTTTTGGGTTCAGTCAGGCCAGAAGTTGAACAGCACATGAAGCCCGCTCAGTTTCTGGAGTTTGATGTGCCCTCCGATATATCAGCACTGCAGCAGACTGACCCGACCTTAAAGCCCTGGTTTGATAAAGTCTCAGAGGTTGAAGGGAAGAAGCAGGGAAGAACAGATGTTCTTGCAGAAGCAACCTATGCTGTGAGAGATGGTATTCTTTATCAGTGCAAAGGCAAGACTGAGGCCATTGCTTTGCCACAGGCTTTTAGGCAGAAAGTCATGGAACTTGGTCATTCAATCCCCTGGGCAGGCCACTTAGCATTTCAAAAGTCTCTAAATAGAATCGCTAGGCGATTTGTGTGGCCAGGCATGTACACTCAAGTACAGCAGTTTTGTGCATCATGTCAGACATGTCAGTTGACCTCAAACAAAGGAGTGGCTCGTGCCCAGCTTCAGCCATTGCCCACAATAGACACACCATTTGAAAGAATAGGTATGGATATAGTGGGCCCTCTTGAGAGAAGTTCCTCTGGTAATCGTTACATTTTGGTAATTTGTGACTATGCCACGCGCTATCCAGAAGCTTTTCCCCTCAGATCAATTAAAGCCAGACATGTTGCCAATTGTCTACTGCAGTTATTTTCTAGAGTAGGCATAGCCAAAGAAGTGCTAACAGACTGTGGGACTAATTTCTTGTCAAAACTACTGCGGGAGGTGTATCAGTTGTTAGGGATTAAAACCACCCCATACCACCCCCAGTCAGATGGACTTGTGGAACGATTCAACCAAACACTCAAGAACATGCTACGGAAGTTTATCTCAGAGACAGGTGCAGATTGGGACCAGTGGCTTCCATATTTACTGTTTGCCTACCGTGAGGTGCCACAGGCTTCAACTGGCTTCTCACCATTCGAACTATTGTATGGTCGCCAAGTGAGGGGGCCGCTGGATCTGCTGAAAGAACTCTGGGAGAATCCAACTGCAACTGGAGAGAATGTGGCTGCGTATGTGGTGAATATGAGAGAGAGACTTGAACAAATGACTGTACTGGCACAGGAGAACATGAGGACTGCACAAAATAATCAGAAGACCTGGTACGATAAAAAGGCCAGGGAAAGGGTCTTTGAGCCAGGACAGCAAGTGTTGTTGTTGCTCCCTAATAGTGACAGTAAGCTGCTGGCCAAGTGGCAGGGGCCATACCAAGTCACAAAACGTCTGGGTAAGGTAACCTATGAACTGCACATGCCTGACAGGAAGAAGAAACATCAAACCTTTCATGTGAATCTGTTAAAAGAATTCCTGGTTCCACCACAGCAGCCAGTCCTGCAGCCTGCCCTGCAGTCAGTCAAGCAGCAGTTCCTTG